AGAAGTGTTGCTCTACTCTATAATTATTGATTTAGATATATAATATCTTACCACAACATTATCAACGTATTTATAGATATCATCAATTAGAGCAAGCAATCGTTCCATAGAGGCCTCCATTCCCTCCAGATCATTTGGAAGCTTATCAACATTTGTTGGCTTAAGCACATCAACTGTTTGGGGGAGGGAGTATACAGATTTCAAGAAATGGAGGAAAAAGAATGGGGTGTCATCAAATTAATAAAATTAAGACAGATACATACATCCAATGCGTTCTGCCTCGACCATGCGCAAGTCCAATGGGATTTCCTGAAATTGAGCAGCAAGCTGTTGATCACCAAGAGACAGATTAATCGACACAAATGCCTTGATGGCAGCATTTCCACTTCTGAATTCAGTGTCAACAGTCAAATGAACAGGATTGGTGATTTCTCTAGAGTAAAACTCGTGGATTAGAGCACTGCCAGGTGTCACACCGCCAGTTGAGAACCTATCGACATATGCATGTGCACACAAGCTTATAATCAAATTCCGATTCAAAAATCTGTATTAAACTGACGATTCATGACTATCAAGCAGGCCATGCATTCTCATAATTCAATGCTTCGATACTCAAAAATAAGTAAGTGGAACAGAAAATACACAATTTCGCTAGTTCAGTTTTCTTGAATAAAAGAAGAGTTCTTATTTACAATAAGAAGTCTGTTCTAACAAGCAAAGATCAAAACATAAATTGTAACTGACACTGAGAACTTTGTCTGAAAGATAAGGACAACATCAAGCACAAATCCCTGCAGTAAACTGGCATGCATATGACAAGAATGCATCTTCAGTGGTAATAGCAATACAACTTTTACCTCAAAAGAGAACAGAATACATAGCAAAAGTTAAACAAGGAAAATGAATTTCCAAAGCTAATAAAAGATTACCATCCAACTATGACTTCCTTCGGGTTCACCTTCCGGTGGGACGCCAACATATTCTGATGGTAATCAATATCCAATGCAACCTAACAAAAATCAAATTGAGAAGAAAATCATAGAATTAAAGATAGAAATTTCTTCACAAAGAAATCAAAACGCACTCATAATTTCCTCATATATTAGAAAATCTAACAATATGAAAAAAAATCCAAAAATTGTACTAGGAAAAAGGCAAAGGAGAAATTTGCCTTTAGCCCTTATTGCAACGGGTAGCTCATAACCACAACTCCGCACAACAGCTCGAAATAAGACCGCAATTAACAATGCAACCCAATTATAAATAACCAGCAGTTATTCAAACAGATCTTCACGAACAAAAACTCGACTAACCTGATCCGACGACTCATTGTGTGGGACGGCGTAGGAGTTGCGAACGTCGACCGTGCCGTCAGGCAAAACCGATCCGAGGAGCGTGCCAATGACGCGTTCCGCCTGGTCAGGCCGCCTCACATAACAGTCGCAAATGTTGTATATAACAAGAGGATGAACCCTAGCCGACACGCTTGCAGGTGATGGTACGAACTGCAGCACGGTTTGTTCGTTAGATCCCATTTTGCTTCCCTGATGCAGCGAGAGAAGGTCGAGGAGAGAAAGCAGGTGAAATTCTAGGGTTTACAAGTGCAGTGAGGTTTGTCGAGATTAGGGCCTGGAATTTGGGGCCGAAATAGATATAATGTTGGGCTTTACGGGGACAAATGATTCCATATCCAAGTCCAAACCAAAGCCCAACCATAAACCAAAGTCTAATATTACGGGTCTTAATTAAACTGGGCAAACCGGAAAAAGCCCAAACAAAACCCGATAACCCGTTTCACATCAAACACATTTCCAGCACTTCCATCTGAGAGCTCATCTTCGATTTTGCTCCTCAAATTTGCATTTCTCAAACTACTCTTAGCAGCAGCAAAAATGGGCGGAGGAGACCACCACCACCACGCTGATGCGGCCCACGGCGGCGATTTCAGGGCGAAAGTGTGGAGCGCGACCGGCGGGCCCTACTGCCGGCCCAAGCACTGGAAGCGCAACACTGCCTTCGCCATGTTCGGCATCGTCCTGATCTGCATCCCCATCGCCATGAAATCTGCGGAGCTCGAGGTGAGCGAGATATCGGGCATCCCTGCCTGCGTTAGATTAGTTTGATTTTATGGATTAATGCGACTTGTTTNTTTGTTCAAGTGACTAATTTTGTTGTGAAGGATTATTGGGTTTTTGGGCGTTTCGTACCTGTACATTTTGTACAAAGCTAAGTTGTTTGCTTTGTAATAAGTGTGGTGGTACTGCTTGTTTGACATGATAGGGTTGAAGTTTTGAGTATTTTTGTTGGATTATGAGGGTTATGGCCTATGGGGACTGTTGATAAGGGGAAAGGAGAATTTAAAGGTGCATTTTGTCAAAATTCATTGAGGGAAGCTGAAATTTAGGGGAAATGGGAGAATCATTTTCTCAGTTGAGATTGTATCGGATTTGAAGTATGCACTACTGTATTGAGGGAGGAGACAAATATGAGAGTTTGTGTTCGTATCCCACTTCCAAAGGAGAAAACATCTTCCTTGATATAAAACTTTGGAGTAGGGTATTCAATAGTGGGCACACCTATGAGTAACAAGAATCAAGAATATTTATGTGCTTACTTGAGATATTATAATGGAGTTTTAACCAATCATAGTATTGATCTATCATGTAAGAATGTAAGGCAAAATAGCCCTAATATCACAACCTTTTTGGAAATTGCAATTTAATCACGACTTTTTCACTTTTGCAAATTATATTACAATCTTTAGTTTGTTGCAAATTGGTGCACTAATTTGCAAAATCCGTGCAAATTATGTCACAATCTTAGTTTGTTCTTTGGCCACGTCAGCTTTTCTAAGGTTGGTTTTCAGAACCCGTGCACCAATTTGCAACAAATTAAAGATTGTGATATAATTTGCAAAAGTGAAAAGGTCTTGATTAAATTGCAATTTCCAAAAATATCTAGCAATTTTGCCAATGTAAGAATGTAATGATTCAAATGGCCTCATTAACTAGATTGTTGTTGTTTCTAGAGTGATGATTAGAAAAATTCTTGATGGAAGAACATTAATATAGTGTGTTAATATGTGTGGTACTTCGATATTTGGCTCGAAATTTTACTTGATATTTGCTAGATTCATTTGTGGCTTTATTAACTCTGCTTTTCTGGTATTACATCATTGCAGACTTGCAGTTCCTTCACTTTGCTATACGTATATATATATTTGGAAAATATTTATTCTGGTAAACACAGTTTTAACTAATATATGAACAGAAGAACTGAATATTTGTTCAATCTTTGTAAGTGTGGCACAAGAATCCTTTGAGTTGCACCTAGTCTGCAAAACTGAATTGAGCGAAAATATTGTTTTGTTTGCTTATAGCTTCTGAAGCTGCTTGGTGTCGTGAATATATGATAACAGTGGCTTCTTAGAACAAATTCCAAACTGAAAGCCCCCAAATTAAGTGTCTCCTTGACTAACTTGTATTGTACTACGTCTCTTACAGCAACGTCCACACATGCCCGTTCGTCCGATCCCCTCCCAGATTTGGTGCAAGAATTTCGGGAATAAGGATTATTAAATCTGTTGTAATAAAAGCTGTTTGTATTGCAACTATAAGTAAGTATCTGATGGGTCCTTCTATCATTACTTCTACAATCTCTTGGATTTTTTTTCATCTGGTGAACACTCAAACAAGTCACTGTTGGGGTATGTGTTTGTTGGAATAAGTAAAACTTGCTTGCTTTTCTTATATGTGCGTTTTGGGATTAATGTTAGAGACATCTTCTTGTTTTGAGGTGTGCCAGTATTTGCTTCTTCTATTCGGATCCATTGGTATCTTTATATGTTCTTTGCATTTTCACGAGATTGTCTCTNAGAATTCACTGTTTTATAGTTTCGTTCATCCTTGCCCGGGTTTCTTGTTGATCTTCATTAAGCCTAAATTTATTATTAATGATACAAGAGATGCACATCTATATATATATATATATATAATAAGAATTAATATTTTTCAAAAATAGTAAGTCAAAATTTGGTCAAAATCCTATCTGCATTAATTACATGCCACTTTTGGCAATTTTTTTTCTCTTACAAAAAAATCGGGCAGCATTAAATGTTGTCCTTAAAATGTGGGATTTGTTCAATCACAAGAGCTTTGAACACATTTTTAGAGATTAAGACCCTTATTTTAAATTAAATTTTAAAATACAGTCAAAATTTATATAACCGACTAAGATTTGTAACATTTTCTAAAACAAATAGACATTCAAATAGAAAATGAGACTTCATTTTCGGTATTCATTTTTTTCGACTGAATAAAATTCAAATTTCGACCGAAAATTAAAAAATTATTCCAGATTCGTCCATTAAACTTACGAAATTTCTAAAATCTACAAAAAAAAAAAGCAATATGAATCAAAATAATTGAACAACACATTACATAAGTCTCGATACTCAAAAGAAAAGCTTTTGAAATGGTCGAAATAGTAATAACAAAGTTTGTTTTTTATCGGTTTCGACCAAAAAACAAACATAAAATCTTAGAACACACAAAAAAATATGACAATCAAAAGAAAAATAAAATAATAGAGGCATCTTTCTAAACATAAAGACAAGATATAATATCGATCTATCTTATAACATAAGAAATCGACTCGCAATAGATGTGATTGATTGTTTAAAAAATAGAGCATTTTTGTGAAAATTTGAAAGAATATTTTATCAAGTTTCTATAAGTGATATAAGAGAGAGAATAGAGGGAAAGCGATGGGAGGAGGAGAAGTAATGACATAACCCTAATAATGTAGATATTTTTAACTTTTTTAGATGACATCTTTGATTTCTGACCGTTAGATATCGGTTGACTAATTCAGACCGTCTGATCCATTCTTTTAAGCCATAACGGGTTGAGATGTTGGGTCGCACTTAATGATTTGGTCTGCTTTCATGGTTGGGCTTTATTTGGGTCAATTCAATAATATGTTATTGGCCCGTTAAGTTTGACCCGACCAGTTTAGTTGAGTACATTATATTGTGGCACATAATTGGGCTTCAATTTTTTTTATAAAAAAAATAGACAGGCTTCGCTATATAAAAATAAATAAATATATAAATTCTATAAATTATTATAGCCGTGCATAGCACGAATTACTCAGTATAATAATAATAATAATAATAATAATAATAATAATAATAATTTTTGAAACCTTGCGTACTCAAATTTTCACACGTGACATCATAATTCTCTTTAAAAAAGGTATCGATATTGATTCTTCACTTACGTGACTCGAACTCGAAACCCATTTATAGTTGTTATTTAATATTGTTTATCCGTGCATCGCACGGAGTACGCACCAGTATCTTATATCTTATTTTAGTCTCATGATAACAAATTTAAGTCTGTATATACTATATACATGCACTCGTAATTTAAGACCAACTTCATATCTTGATAAAAATTTAGAAAAAATATATCGCAAATCAAATTCAAAATGAAGCAAGCTTCAAACTATAGGTCCAACTTCCAAGCAAGCTCATCAAAGTTAGAATTCACATTCTTGTCTCCAAGTGTCCAGGTGTGTGTTATTTAACACTTAGAATTTCCAAATAGTAACTCTGAATTAACCAAATAAAATCACTTGTTGAAAATAAAAAGCGGATAAGAAAGCAGTAAGTACTTTATCGAAAAAAACATAATAAGATCTACCTAAACATACACTGCCCTTATCCATAGGGAATCTATGGACCCGGCTATCTTGTTTTGGTATGTTATGTAACATTTGTAACAAATATACTATATTTATTACGTGATGCAGACAAACAGTTGGCTCACGATAAGCCACATAAATGTGTAATATAATTCATAGTACGGACACCTTCTTCTTGTACGCTAAGCATAATTTTGGAACTCATAATGTACTTTATTGAAGTTTGTAATTATATGTAGTATAAGACGTCCTCATATTTAAATAACGATAATTACCAGCAGATTTGTTAAACAAAATAATTACCACTTAAACGAAACAAGTCGTTCGTGAGTTTAATTTGGGTTGACTCGATAAGGCTTGTTAAGTGATGTAGCGGATAGCATGAGATGGGATAATTCAAAGAAGAAAAACGAAGATAGTTTCTTTCTGTAATCAGTTTGATCGAATGATAACTAACAGTACATGAACTACACGATTGTTTTTAAAACCAAACGTAAAAATTCTATCCACTATTAATAAAACAAGCCCAACATAAAATCCACTACAACATAATAAAAGCCCAAACACAACATAAATAAATATAAACTAAATAATAATAATAATAATAATAATAATAATCACATTAAAGGCCGGAGGCGATCATATGTATCGAGAAATATCAACCCACTTTCGTCGGCATCGTTAAATCTCATCAGCAAAATTAATTTTTTATAATTCGACTCCTTAACGGTCGAGTTGGGTTCGATAATGTTGATAAATAAGCCGAGCTCGAGGACCGGCTTGTTTAGTTAACCAATCAAACCATGCTCAACTTGTTAACATAGGTACGAACAAAATACTGAAATAGCCTTCTAATTTTTAGAAAGCGAGTTTTTAACTATTGGATCAACACACATCCATGTGTATGCATGCGTAAGAATGTATGTGATCCAAAAGTAAAAATAGACTTTTGGATATGTTTCCCTTATTTCATTTTTCTCTCTCGCTAAAATGATGTTAGAAATCCATACAAAGTACATCCATTGGGTGGCTACCCTACATGCCGTTTTTGTAGGAAGATTGAAATGTAATTATTCGAGTAGCTCAATAACTAAGTATTAATGTTTCCCATAAAGGGTTGAGAACTTGATATCCTCATGTGTACTTCGTGTATTTTCATTTCGTTTTTACTCTATTTGATTGATATATACTAAAACACAAAGCCTGCCTAACCGTCTAACAATTATATTTTCTTATAAAATAATGTAATATTTTTATTTATACGATAATTTAATATATGAGATTATATGAGACTTCAGTATAAAAATATTTATATTTGTTGAAAAAGCACGACTGTCTAACCACTACACAACTTAACCGAAGATTATTTATCGAATACTAAAATAGTATCCTCAACATCATACACATTCAAAGTTCAACTGATAAACGCATCAACAAACATTTAACGTTCGTCGCCCATTAAACATTGAGTCTCTACTTAAATCACTTGAAAATTAACAATTACATGATCAAACTTTATGTACAAAACTCACTTATAAAGCAAAATTCCCAACAAACCCATTCTAAGAAAATTGCATCTGCCCCTAATATTTTTCATTCATTAGAACCAAGTTGCTCAAAAATTGTTGTCCCTATGATTGTCCAAGAAGAAGGATGAAAGTACTTGGTGTGGACTTGGAAGTTGGAACAATATTTTTGAGAGCATAAAAGGTTTTGATTAGACCACGTAAGACAGTGGCCTGTGTCCACAAGCTCTTACTTTGCAGAATTTGAGGCATAGAAATAACCACAATACCTTCTTGGTATCTCCTCCACTTGTATGCATCAATATATTGAATAGAATCATATAACCAATTAAGTACCAATTAATACACACTTTCAAAGCTTTCACCTGTATTTCCAGCTGCACAAATGAAAAATACAAAAGATTCCCTATTCTTTCTTTTATTTTATTTTATTTTTCATATTTATCTATTAC